CCACACATGACCCCATGACCCCCAAGTGACCCCCAGTGACCCCTCATTGCCCCCCCAGTGACCCCCCAGTGCCCCCCCAGTGCCCCCCCCATGACCCAGAGTGACCTCCCTTGACCCCCCCTTGACCCCCATGTGACACCCGAATGACCCCGCCTGACCCCCAACTGACCCCTGAATGACCCCCATGGACCCCCATGTGACCCCCCAATGACCCCTCCTGACCCCCAAGTGACAAAAATGACCCCCAATGACCCCCAATGACCCCTTGTGACCCCCAAGTGATGAAAATGACCCCCAATGACCCCCATGTGACCCCCAATGACCCCTCGTGACCCCCAAGTGACAAAAATGACCCCCATTGACCCCCATGTGACCCCTCAATGACCCCTCGTGACCCCCAAGTGACAAAAATGACCCCCATTGACCCCCATGTGACCCCCCATTGACCCCCCGTGACCCCCAAGTGACAAAAATGACCCCCCATTGACCCCCATGTGACCCCCAATGACCCTCAAGTGACAAAAATGACCCCCATTGACCCCCATGTGACCCCTCAATGACCCCTTGTGACCCCCAAGTGACAAAAATGACCCCCCATTGACCCTCATGTGACCCCCAATGACCCTCAAGTGACAAAAATGACCCCCATTGACCCTTCAATGACCCCTCGTGACCCCCAAATGACCCCATTGACCCCCCGTTGACCCCCATGTGACCCCCAATGACCCCTCGTGACCCCCACGTGACAAAAATGACCCCCATTGACCCCCATGTGACCCCCCAATGACCCCTCCTGACCCCCAAGTGACAAAAATGACCCCCATTGACCCCCATGTGACCCCCAATGACCCCCAAGTGACAAAAATGACCCCTCATTGACCCCCATGTGACCCCCAATGTCCCCTCGTGACCCCCAAGTGACAAAAATGACCCCCATTGACCCCCATGTGACCCCCCAATGACCCCTCGTGACCCCCAAGTGACAAAAATGACCCCCATTGACCCCCATGTGACCCCCCATTGACCCCCCGTGACCCCCAAGTGACAAAAATGACCCCCATTGACCCCCATGTGACCCCTCAATGACCCCTCGTGACCCCCAAGTGACAAAAATGACCCCCATTGACCCCCATGTGACCCCCCATTGACCCCCCGTGACCCCCAAGTGACAAAAATGACCCCCCATTGACCCCCATGTGACCCCCAATGACCCTCAAGTGACAAAAATGACCCCCATTGACCCCCATGTGACCCCTCAATGACCCCTTGTGACCCCCAAGTGACAAAAATGACCCCCCATTGACCCTCATGTGACCCCCAATGACCCTCAAGTGACAAAAATGACCCCCATTGACCCTTCAATGACCCCTCGTGACCCCCAAATGACCCCATTGACCCCCCGTTGACCCCCATGTGACCCCCAATGACCCCTCGTGACCCCCACGTGACAAAAATGACCCCCATTGACCCCCATGTGACCCCCCAATGACCCCTCCTGACCCCCAAGTGACAAAAATGACCCCCATTGACCCCCATGTGACCCCCAATGACCCCCAAGTGACAAAAATGACCCCTCATTGACCCCCATGTGACCCCCAATGTCCCCTCGTGACCCCCAAGTGACAAAAATGACCCCCATTGACCCCCATGTGACCCTCCAATTACCCCTCGTGACCCCCAAGTGACAAAAATGACCCCCATTGACCCCCATGTGCCCCCCCAGTGACCTCTCGCGACCCCCACTGACCCCCCCTAGACTCCCATGTGACCCCTCATTGACCCCTCGCGACCCCCAATGACCCCCATAGACTCCATGTGACCCCTCATTGACCCCCCATTGACCCCTCGTGACCCCCATGTGACCCCATTGACCCCTTTTCCCCCACAGAGGAGGAGCGGCCCCGGCCCCGGTGAGTGGGGGAGGGGCGGGGCTGGGGGGTGGGGGAGGGGCCAGACCCCCCCCCCTCCCCCCTGACCTCTCCCCCTCCCCCCCCCCCCACCCAGGCCCGTTGTGCCCCAGCTTGCGCCCCCCAAGATCCCTGAGGGGGAGAGGGTGGACTTCGATGTGAGTGTGGGGCAGGGCTGGGGCTGGGGGGTGAATGTGGGGCTGGGGGGTGAATGTGGGGCTGGGCGTGAATGTGGGGCTGGGGGGTGAATGTGGGGCTGGGGGTGTCAGTGTGGGGCTGGGGGTGAATGTGGGGCTGGGGGTGTCAATGTGGGGCTGGGGGGTGAATGTGGGGCTGGGGGTGTCAATGTGGGGCTTGGGGGGTGAATGTGGGGCTGGGGGTGTCAGTGTGGGGCTGGGGGGTGAATGTGGGGCTGGGGGTGTCAGTGTGGGGCTGGGGGGTGAATGTGGGGCTGGGGGTGTCAATGTGGGGCTGGGGGGTGAATGTGGGGCTGGGGGTGTCAATGTGGGGCTCTGGGGTCAATGTGGGGCTGGGGGTGTCAATGTGGGGCTCTGGGGTCAATGTGGGGCTGGGGTCAGTGTGGGGCTGGGGGGTGAATGTGGGGCTGGGGTCAGTGTGGGGCTGGGGGGTGAATGTGGGGCTGGGGGTGTCAATGTGGGGCTCTGGGGTCAATGTGGGGCTGGGGGTGTCAATGTGGGGCTCTGGGGTCAATGTGGGGCTGGGGTCAGTGTGGGGCTGGGGGGTGAATGTGGGGCTGGGGTCAGTGTGGGGCTGGGGGGTGAATGTGGCCTGGGGGTGAATGTGGGGCTGAGGGGTCAAGGTGGGGCTGGGGGGTGAATGTGGGGCTGGAGTGTCAATGTGGGGCTGGGGGTGTCAATGTGGGGCTGGGGGTGTCAATGTGGGGCTGGGGGGGTGAATGTGGGGCTGGGGGGTGAATGTGGGGCTGGGGGTGTCAATGTGGGGCTGGGGGTGTCAGTGTGGGGCTGGGGTCAATGTGGGGCTGTGGGGTCAATGTGGGGCTGTGGGGTGAATGTGGGGCTGGGGGTGTCAGTGTGGGGCTGGGGGGTGAATGTGGGGCTGGGGGCTCAGTGTGGGGCTTGGGGGGTGAATGTGGGGCTGAGGGGGTGAATGTGGGGCAGGGGGTGTCAATGTGGGGCTTGGGGGTGAATGTGGGGCAGGGGGTGTCAGTGTGGGGCTGGGGTGTCAATGTGGGGCTGGGGGGTGAATGTGGGGCAGGGGGTGTCAATGTGGGGCTGGGGGGTGAATGTGGGGCTGGGGGTGTCAGTGTGGGGCTGGGGGTGTCAGTGTGGGGCTGTGGGGTGAATGTGGGGCTGGGGGGTGAATGTGGGGCTGGGGGCTCAGTGTGGGGCTTGGGGGGTGAATGTGGGGCTGAGGGGGTGAATGTGGGGCAGGGGGTGTCAATGTGGGGCTTGGGGGGTGAATGTGGGGCTGGGGGTGTCAGTGTGGGGCTGGGGGTTTCAATGTGGGGCTGTGGGGTGAATGTGGGGCTGGGGGGTGTCAATGTGGGGCTGGGGGGTGAATGTGGGGCTGGGGGTGTCAGTGTGGGGCTGGAGTGTCAATGTGGGGCTGAGGGGTCAAGGTGGGGCTGTGGGGTGAATAGCCAGCTCATAGCACCCCATACCTCACCATTGACACCCCATAGCCCTCCTGAGACACCCCATAGCCCCCATAGCACCCCATGGACACCCCATAGACACCCTGTATCTCCCCATAGACACCCCATAGACACCCCCAGCTCCCCATAGCCCCCCCATAGACGCCGCATAGCCCCCCCCATAGCCCCCCATAGCCACCCCATAGCTCCCCATAGCCCCCCCATAGCCCCCCATAGCCACCCCATAGCGCCCCATAGCCCAACCCATAGCCCCCCATAGCCCCCCATAGCGCCCCATAGCCCCCCATAGCCGCCCCATAGCCACCCCATAGCCCCCTATAGCGCCCCATAGACACTCCATAGCCCCCCATAGACACCCCATAGACACCCTATAGCTCCCCTTAGACACCCCATAGCCCCCCATAGCCCCCCCATAGCCGCCCCATAGCTCCCCATAGCCACCCCATAGGCCCCCATAGACACCGCATAGACACCCCATAGCTTCCCATAGACACCCCATAGCCTCCGAAAGCCACCCCATAGCCCCTCCATAGCGCCCCATAGCCCTCCATAGACACCCCATAGACCCCCCATAGCACCCCATCAAAACCCCATAGCCCCCCATAGCGCCCCATAGACACCCCATATCCCCCCATAGACACCCTATAGCCCCCATAGCCCCCATAGCCACCCCATAGATCCCACATAGCCCCCCCATAGCGCCCCATAGCCCCCCACAGCCCCCCATAGCCCCCCCAGCACCCCATAGCGCCCCATAGCACCCCATAGCCCCCCATAACCCTCCCATAGACACCCCATAGACACCCTCTAGCTCCCCATAGCCACCCCATAGCCCCCCCTAGACACCCCATAGCCCTCCATAGCCCCCCATAGCCCCCTATAGCCACCACATAGCCCCCCATAGCGCCCCCATAGCCGCCAATAGCCACCTCATAGCTCCCCATAGACCCCCCATAGCCCCCCATAGCCCCCCCATATCCCCCCATATCCCCCCATAGTCCCCCATAGCGCCCCATATCCCCCCATAGCCACCCCATAGCCCCCCCATAGCCCCCCCCATAGCCCCCCATAGCCGCCCCATAGCCACCCCATAGCCCCTCATAGACACCCCATAGCCCCCCATAGCCCCCCCATAGCCACCCCATAGACACCCCATAGCCCCCCATAGCCACCCCATAGCCACCCCATAGCCCCCCATAGCCACCCCATATCCCCCCATAGCCACCCCATAGCCCCCCATAGCCACCCCATAGCCCCCCCATAGACACCCCATAGCCCCCCCATAGCCCCCCATAGCCACCCCATAGCCACCCCATATCCCCCCATATCCCCCCATAGCCCCCGATAGCACCCATAGCCCCACATAGCCCCCCATAGCCCCCCCATATCCCCCCATATCCCCCCATAGTCCCCCATAGACACCCCATAGCCCCCCCATATCCCCCCATAGTCCCCCATAGAAACCCATAGCCCCCCCATATCCCCCCATAGGCACCCCATAGACACCCCATAGCTCCCCATAGCCACCCCATATCCCCCCATAGTCCCCCATAGATACCCCATAGCAACCCATATCCACCCCAGAGCCACCCCATAGCCACCCATAGCCCCCCATAGCCCCCCCATAGCGCCCCATAGCCCAACCCATAGCCCCCCATAGCGCCCCATAGCCCCCCCATATCCTCCCATATCCCCCCATAGCCCCCCATATCCCCCCATAGCCACCCCATAGCCCCCCATAGCCCCCTCATAGCCCCCCGTAGCCCCCCATATCCCCCCATATCCCCCCATAGCGCCCCATAGCCCCCCATAGCCACCCCATAGCCACCCCATAGCCCCCCATAGCCCCCCCACCCCCCCATAGCCCCCCATAGCGCCCCATAGCGCCCCATAGCCCCCCATAGCCACCCCATAGCCCCCCCATAGCCCCCCATAGCCCCCCCATATCCCCCCATAGCGCCCCCCAGAGCCCCATAGCGCCCCATAGACACTCCATAGCCCCCCATAGACACCCTATAGCTCCCCATAGACACCCCATAGCCCCCCATAGCCCCCCCATAGCCGCCCCATAGCTCCCCATAGCCACCCCATAGCCCCCCATAGGCACCGCATAGACACCCCATAGCTTCCCATAGACACCCCATAGCCTCCGAAAGCCACCCCATAGCCCCCCCATAGCGCCCCATAGCCCTCCATAGACACCCCATAGACACCCCATAGCGCCCCACCGAAACCCCATAGCCCCCCATAGCGCCCCATAGACACCCCATATCCCCCCATAGACACCCTATAGCCCCCATAGCCCCCATAGCCACCCCATAGATCCCACATAGCCCCCCCATAGCGCCCCATTGCGCCCCATAGCCCCCCACAGCCCCCCATAGCCACCCCATAGCCCCTCATAGCCCCCCATAGCCACCCCATAGCCCCCCCTAGACACCCCATAGCCCTCCATATCCCCCCATCGCCGCCCATAGCCACCCCATAGCCCCCCATAGCCGCCCCATAGCGCCCCATAGCCCAACCCATAGCCCCCCATAGCCGCCCCATAGTGCCCCATAGCCACCCCATATCCCCCCATATCCCCCCATAGCCCCCCATAGCCCCCCATAGCGCCCCCCAGCGCCCCATAGCGCCCCCCAGCGCCCCATAGCCACCCCATATCCCCCCATATCCCCCCATAGTCCCCCATAGCGCCCCATAGCGCCCCATAGCGCCCCCCAGCGCCCCCCATAGCCACCCCATAGCGCCCCCCAGCGCCCCATAGCCGCCCCATAGCCCCCCATAGCGCCCCATAGCCGCCCCATAGACACCCCATAGCGCCCCATATCCCCCCATAGCGCCCCCATATCCCCCCATATCCCCCCATAGCCACCCCATATCCCCCCATAGCCCCCCATAGACACCCCATAGATGCCCTATAGCCCCCCCATAGCCCCCCATAGCCCCCATAGACACCCCATAGCCACCCCATGGCGCCCCGCCCGCAGGACATCCACCGCAAGCGCATGGAGAAGGACCTGCAGGAGCTGCAGAGCCTCATCGAGGCGCACTTCCAGCAGCGGCGCCGCGAGGAGCTCGAGCTCGTGGCGCTCATGGAGCGCATCGTGAGCGCCGCGGGGCGCTGGGGGGCTATGGGGGGGATATGGGGGGATATGGGTGGCTATGGGGGGCTATGGGGGGATATGGGGGGCTATGGGGGGCTATGGGGCGCTATGGGGCATATGGGGGGCTATGGGGGGCTATGGGGCGCTATGGGGGGCTATGGGGCGCTGGGGGGCGCTATGGGGGGATATGGGGGGATATGGGGCGCTATGGGGGGCTATGGGGGGATATGGGGGGCTATGGGGGGCTATGGGGCGCTATGGGGGGATATGGGGCGCTATGGGGGGATATGGGGCGCTATGGGGGGATATGGGGGGCTATGGGGCGCTGGGGGGCGCTATGGGGCGCTATGGGGTGGCTATGGGGCGCTGGGGGGCGCTATGGGGCGCTATGGGGTGCTATGGGGCGCTGGGGGGCGCTATGGGGGGATATGGGGGGATATGGGGGGCTATGGGGGGTATGGGGGCTATGGGGGGCTATGGGGGCGCTATGGGGCTCTATGGGCTCTATGGGGTGCTGTGGGGGGCTATGGGGCGCTATGGGGGGCTATGGGGCGCTATGGGGGGATATGGGGCGCTATGGGGGGATATGGGGGGGCTATGGGGGGCTATGGGGGAATATGGGGGGGCTATGGGGGGATATGGGGGGCTATGGGGCGCTATGGGGGGATATGGGGGGATATGGGGCGCTATGGGGCGCTATGGGGGGATATGGGGCGCTATGGGGCGCTGCGGGGCGCTATGGGGCGCTATGGGGTGCTATGGGGTGCTGGGGGGCACTGTGGGTCTCTATGGGTCTCTATGGGTCCCTATGGGGCGCTGGGGGTCCCTATGGGTCCCTATGGGGCGCTATGGGGCGCTATGGGGGGATATGGGGCGCTATGGGGCGCTGCGGGGCGCTATGGGGCGCTATGGGGTGCTGGGGGGCGCTGTGAGTCTCTATGGGTCCCTATGGGGCGCTGGGGGTCTCTATGGGTCCCTATGGGGCGCTGGGGGTCCCTATGGGTCCCTATGGGGCGCTGGGGGACGCTATGGGGCGCTATGGGGCCCTATGGGACGCTGGGGGGCGCTGGGGGTCCCTATGGGGCACTCCAGGTCCCTATGGTTCCCTATGGGGCGCTGGGGGTCTCTAAGGGTCTCTATGGGTCTCTATGGGTCTCTATGGGTCCCTATGGGGTGCTGGGGGGTACTGGGGGTCTCTATGGGTCTCTATGGGTCCCTATGGGGTGCTGGGGTCCACTGTGGGTCTCTATGGGTCCCTATGGGGCGCTGGGGGGCGCTATGGGTCCCTATGGGGTGCTGGGGGTCCCTATGGGTCCCTATGGGGCACTGCGGGTCTCTATGGGTCCCTATGGGCCCCTATGGGGTGCTGGGGTCCACTGAGGGTCTCTATGGGTCCCTATGGGGCTGCTGGGGGCGTTCTGTGGGTCCCTATGGGCCGCTGGGGGCCGCTGGGGGTCCCTATGGGCTCCCTGTGGGTCTCTATGTGTCTCTATGGGTCCCTATGGGTCTCTGTGGGTCTCTGTGGGTCCCTGTGGGTCTCTATGGGTCCCTATGGGCTCCCTGTGGGTCCCTGTGGGTCCCTATGGGGCGGTGTGGGTCCCTATGGGCTCCCTATGGGCTATCTGTGGGTCTCTATGGGTCACAGGAGCGCCGCCGGGCCGAGCGCCATGAGCAGCAGCGGAGCCGCACGGAGAAGGAACGGGAGCGACAGGCGCGGCTGGCGGTGAGCCCCATAGCACCCCATAGCACCCCATAGCGCCCCATAGCACCCCATAGCACCCCATAGCTGCCCCATAGCACCCCATAGCACCCCATAGCACCCCATAGTGCCTCATAGCTGCCCCATAGCATCCCATAGCTGCCCCATAGCTGCCCCATAGCTGCCCCATAGCTGCCCCATAGCTGCCCCATAGCTGCCCCATAACCACCCCACAGCTGCCCCATAGCTGCCCCATAGCTGCCCCATAGCTGCCCCATAGCACCCCATAGCTGCCCCATAGCTGCCCCATAGCACCCCATAGCTGCCCCATAGCACCCCATAGCGCTCCATAGCTGCCCCATAGCACCCCATAGCACCCCATAGCTGCCCCATAGCACCCCATAGCTGCCCCATAGCACCCCATAGCGCTCCATAGCTGCCCCATAGCACCTCATAGCACCCCATAGCTGCCCCATAGCACCCCATAGCTGCCCCATAGCACCCCATAGCACCCCATAGCTGCCTCATAGCACCCCATAGCACCCCGTAGCTGCCCCATAGCACCCCATAGCACCCCATAGCTGCCCCATAGCACCTCATAGCACCCCATAGCGCCCCATAGCACCCCATAGCTGCCCCATAGCACCCCATAAGTACCCCATAGCGTCCCATAGCACCCCATAGCACCCCATAGCTGCCCCATAGCACCCCATAGCACCCCATAAGTACCCCCTAGACACCCCATATTGCCCCATGATGCCCATGGCACCCCATACGGCTCCATAGCTGCCTCATAGACACCCCATAGCTGCCCCATAGACACCCCATAGACACCCCATAGATACCCCATAGACACCCCATAGCTCCCCATAGACACCCCATAGACACCCCATAGCTCCCCATAGACACCCCATAGACACCCCATAGCCCCCCATAGACACCCCATAGACACCCCATAGCCCCCCATAGACACCCCATAGACACCCCATAGCCCCCCATAGCCCCCCATAGCCACCCCATAGACACCACATAGCTGCCCCACAGACGCCCCCATGTCCCCGCAGGAGGAGCGGATGCGGAAGGAGGAGGAGGAGGCCAAGAAGCGAGCCGAGGACGACGCCAAGAAGAAGAAGGTGCTGTCGGCGATGCCCCATTTCGGGGGGTACTTGGCCAAGGTATCAGAGCTGCCCCATAGCGCCCCATAGCAGCACCCAGAGCTGCCCCATAGACACCTCATAGACACCTCATAGCACCCCATAGCAGCACCCCATAGACACCTCATAGACACCCCAGAGCTGCCCCATAGACACCTCATAGCGCCCCATAGCGCCCCATAGCAGCACCCAGAGCTGCCCCATAGACACCTCATAGACACCTCATAGCGCCCCATAGCAGCACCCCAGAGCTGCCCCATAGACACCTCATAGACACCCCATAGCGCCCCATAGCAGCACCCCAGAGCTGCCCCATAGACACCTCATAGACACCCCAGAGCTGCCCCATAGCTGCCCCATAGACACCTCATAGACACCCCATAGCGCCCCATAGCAGCACCCCAGAGCTGCCCCAGAGCTGCCCCATAGACACCTCATAGACACCCCATAGACACCCCATAGCTGCCCCATAGACACCTCATAGACACCCCATAGACACCCCATAGCTGCCCCATAGACACCTCATAGACACCCCATAGCGCCCCATAGCAGCACCCAGAGCTGCCCCATAGACACCTCATAGACACCCCATAGCGCCCCATAGCAGCACCCAGAGCTGCCCCATAGACACGCCATAGCTGCCCCATAGACACCCCATAGACACCCCATAGCTGCCCCATAGACACCCCAGAGCTGCCCCATAGACACCCCATAGCTCCCCATAGACACCTCATAGACACCCCAGAGCGGCCCCATAGGTGCCCCATAGACACTCCACAGAAACCCATAGACACCCCGTAGAGAACCCATAATGCCCCATAGACACCCCATAGCTGCCCCATAGACGCCCCATAGACACCCCACAGACAACCCATAATGCCCCAGATACCCCATAGCTGCCCCATAGACACCCCACAGACACCCACAGACAACCCATAATGCCCCAAAGCTGCCCCATAGACACCCAACAGACACCCATAGACAACTCATAATGCCCCAGACACGCCATTGCTGCCCCACAGACACCCCACAGACACACATAGACAACCCATAATGCCCCATAGACATCCCATAGCTGCCCCATAGCTACGGTGTAGCTGCCCCATAGACACCCCATAGTTGCCCCATAGACACCCCATAGCTGCCCCATAGACACCCCAGAGCTGCCCCATAGCTGCTCCATAGACACCCCATAGACACCCCATAGACACCCCATAGCTGCCCCATAGCTGCCCCATAGCCGCCCCATAGCTGCCCCATAGACACCCCATAGACACCCCATAGCCGCCCCATAGCTGCCCCATAGCCACCCCATAGACACCCCATAGACACCCCATAGACCCCCCATAGACACCCCATAGACCCCCCATAGACACCCCATAGCCACCCCATAGACACCCCATAGCCGCCCCATAGCTGCCCCATAGACACCCCATAGACACCCCATAGCCCCCCATAGACACCCCATAGACACCCCATAGCCACCCCATAGACACCCCATAGACCCCCCATAGACACCCCATAGACCCCCATACACCCCATAGAGACCTCAATACACCCCATAGACCCCCCATAGACACCCCATAGACCCCCCATAGACCCCCCATAGCCACCCCATAGACACCCCATAGACACCCCATAGACACCCCATAGACACCCCATAGACCCCCCATAGACACCCCATAGACCCCCCATAGCCACCCCATAGACACCCCATAGACACCCCATAGACACCCCATAGACCCCCCATAGACCCCCCATAGCCACCCCATAGCCACCCCATAGCCACCCCATAGACACCCCATAGCCGCCCCACAGCTGCCCCACAGCTGCCCCCCGCAGGCAGAGCAGCGCCGCGGCCGCCGCCAGACGGGGCGGGAGATGAAGCTTCGGGTCCTGGCCGAGCGGAAGCGGCCGCTCGAGATCGAGGCTCTGCGGGAGGAGGAGCTGCGGTGAGGCCCCGCCCCCTGCCCTGGCCCCGCCCCCATCCATAACCCCGCCCCCTGCCGCAGCCCCCCATGGCCACGCCCGCTAAGCACGGAGCTGTCTCATGGCCCCGCCCCTCTCTGGTGGCCCCGCCCACTACCCCATAGCCACACCCCTGCCTCTTAGCCCCTCCCCTATCACATAGCCCCTCCCCCTCCCCCATAGCCCCTCCCTTGCTCTATAGCTCCACCCCTCCCCCTTAGCCCCTCCCCTCCCCCATAGCCCCCCCCACTCCCCAATAGCCCCTCCCCTTCTCCATAGCCCCTCCCCTCCCCATAGCCCCTCCTCCTCCCCCATAGCCCCTCCCCCATAGCCCCTCCCCCGTAGCCCCTCCCCTCCCCCATAGCCCCCCCCTCTCCATAGCCCCTCCTCCTCCCCCATAGCCCCTCCCCCATAGACCCTCCCCCTGCCCCATAGCCCCTCCCCCTAGCCCCTCCCAATCCCCATAACCCCTCCCCTCCCCCATAGCCCCCCCCACTCCCCAATAGCCCCTCCCCTTCTCCATAGCCCCTCCCTTCCTTCATAGCCCCTCCCCTCCATCATAGCCCCTCCCCTGTCCCATAGCGCCTCTCCTCCCCCATAGCCCCTCCCCATCCCCATAGCCCCTCCCCTGCCCCATAGCCCCTCCCCCTCCATCATAGACCCTCCCCCTGCCCCATAGCGCCTCCCCATCCCCATAGCCCCTCCCTTCCCCCATAGCCCCTCCCCTTCTCCATAGCACCTCCCCTCCATCACAGCCCCTCCCCCTGCCCCATAGCCCCTCCCCCATAGCCCCTCCCAATCCCCATAACCCCTCCCCTCCCCCATAGCCCCTCCCCCTGCCCCATAGCCCCTCCCCCTCCATCATAGACCCTCCCCCTGCCCCATAGCGCCTCTCCTCCCCCATAGCCCCTCCCTTCCCCCATAGCCCCTCCCCATTCTCCATAGACCCTCCCCCATAGTCCCTCCCCATCCCCATAGCCCCTCCCCTCCCCCTCGCCCCTCCCCTTCTCCATAGCACCTCCCCTCCATCATAGTCCCTCCCCTCCCCCCTCGCCCCTCCCCCTGACCCCCGCCCCGCCCCCCAGGGCCAAGGCTCAGGAGCTCCAGGCCTGGCTCCAGCAGCTCGAGTCCGAGAAGTTCGAGCTCATGGAGCGGCTGCGGAAGCAGAAATACGAGGTGGGGGAGGGGCCACGGGGGGGGAGGGGCAATGAATGGGGGAGGCGCCATGGGTGGGGGAGGGGCCATGGGTTGGGGAGGTGGAAAGGGTGGGGGGTGGGCCACGGGGGGGGAGGCGCAAAGGGTGGGGGAGGGGCAAAGTGTGGGGGTGGGGCAAAGGGTGGGGGAGGTGTCATGGGGGGGGAGGGGCAAAAGGTGGGGGAGGGGCCACTCTTGAGGGAGGGGCCATGGGTTGGGGAGGGGCAAAGGGTGGGGGAGGGGTCACGGGTGGGGGAGGGGCAAAGGTTGGGGGAGGGGCCATGGGTGGGGAGGGGCAAAGGGGGGGGGCAAAGGGGGGGGAGGGGCAAAAGGTGGGGGAGGGGCCACGCTTGGGGAGGGGCATGGGTGGGGAGGGGCAAAGGGTGGGGGAGGGGGAAAGGGTGGGGGAGGGGCCACTCTTGGGGGAGGGGCCATGGGTAGGGGAGGGGCAAAGGGGGGGGCAAAGGGGGGGAGGGGCAAAAGGGGGGGGAGGGGCCACTCTTGGGGGAGGGGCCATGGGTTGGGGAGGGGCAAAGGGTGGGGGAGCGGCAAAGGGTGGGGGGTGGGCCACGGGGGGGAGGGGCCATGGGTGGGGGAGGGGCAAAGGGTGGGGAGGGGCAATGGATGGGGGAAGAGCTGGGGGGAGGGGCAATGGTGGGGGAGGGGCCATCTGTGGGGGAGGGGCAAAGGGTGGGGGAGGAGCAAAAGGATGGGGGAAGGGGTGGGGGGGCGGGGCCATGGGTGGGGGCGGGTCTGTGCTCACCCTCCCCTCCCCCTCCAGATCAATGTCCTGTACAACCGGATCAGCCACGCCCAGAAGTTGTGAGTGGGGGAGGGGCGGCGGGGAGGGCAATGGGGGTCACATGGGGCACTTGTGGGTCACATGGGGTGTCTATGGGTGGTCACCTGCGTTCACAATGGGGGCACTTTGGGGTCACGTATGGGTCACTTGGGGGGCTGGGGGTCACATGTGGGTTACAATGGGGTCAATTGAGGGTCACTTGTGGGGCTGGGGGATCACTTGGGGATCTTTTGGGTTCACTGTGGGGTCACTGGGTCACATGGGGTCACTGTGGGGTCACTTGGGGGTCACTTGGGGGGCTGGCGGTCACTTGGGGGTCACTTGGGGGTCACTGTAACATCACTTATGGGTCACCTAAGAGTCAGTTGTGGGGCTGGAATCCCTTAGGGCTCACTTGGGGGTCAGTGTGGTTCACAATGGGTCTCGGGGTTCACTTGTGGGTCACATGGGGGTCACTGTGGGGTCACTTGTGGGTCACTTGTGGGGCTGGCAGTCACTTGTGGGGCTGGGGGGCTCCTGGGTTCACTGTGGGGTCACTTGGGGGGCCGGGTGTCAATCGGGAGTCACTTGGGGGGCACTTTTAGGTCACTTGTGGGGCTGGAGGGGGTCACTTGTGGGGTGGGGGTCACTTATGGGTTCACATGGGGGTCACTTGTGGGGTGGGGGTCACTTATGGGTCACATGGGGGGTCACTTGTGGGGTGGGGGTCACTTATGGGTCACATGGGGGTGTCGCTTGTGGGGCTGAAGGGGTCACTTATGGGTCACATGTGGGGGGTCACTTGTGGGGTGGGGGTCACTTATGGGTCACATGGGGGTCACTTGTGGGGCTGGGGGTGTCGCTTGTGGGGCTGAAGGGGTCACTTATGGGTCACATGGGGGGTCACTTATGGGTCACATGGGGGTTTCGCTTGTGGGGCTGAAGGGGTCACTTATGGGTCACATGGGGGGTCACTTATGGGTCACATGGGGGTGTCGCTTGTGGGGCTGAAGGGGTCACTTATGGGTCACATGTGGGGGGTCACTTGTGGGGTGGGGGTCACTTATGGGTCACATGGGGGTCACTTGTGGGCTAGGGGTCACTTATGGGTCACATGGGGGGGGTCACTTATGGGTCACATGGGGGTGACTTCGGGTCACGTGGTTCCCCCCCTCCCCCCGCAGCAAGAAGGTTGTCGGGAAGGGCCGCGTGGGCGGGCGCTGGAAGTGACCCCGCCCCCTCCAATAAACGTCACATCCGGTCCGTGTCGCGTCCTTCTTATTGGAGAGGGGAGGGGCGGAGCCTGGCGTTAGCCCCGCCCCCTCCCGCCGTTGCCATGACGACCACGGCACTTCCGCTTCCGGTCCCCCCCCCGTTCCCCCCCCCCCCCCGCGGGGGATGGCGGCGGCGGAGCGGCCCCGGGAGCGGGAGGAGGAGGAGGAGGAGGAGGCCCCGCCCCCCCCCGGCCAGGCCCCGCCCCCTCCTCCCCAGGCCCCGCCCCCTCCTCCCGACCCCCCCGCCCCCTCCCCGTCGCCGCCCCCTCCCCCCCATTCGCTGCCCCTTGTCCGGGCAGGGGGCGGGGCCAGCGCTAATGGCGTCATCGCGCTGCGGCAGGTGGGCGGGGCCTCGCGAAGGGGGAGGGGCTTTGGGGAGGGGGCGGGGTTTGTGTAGGGGCGTGGTTATGTGGGGAGGGGAGGGGCTTAGAAAGGGGGCGGGGCTTGGGGACACTGGGGGGAGGTATGGGGCGTCCATGGGTGGCCAAGGGGGGGGGGTCTATGGGGACCTGTGGGGTGTCTATGGGGTGTCTATGAGGGTCCATGTGGGGTTTATGGGGGTCTATGGGGTGTCTATGGGGTGTCTATGGGGGTCCATGTGGGGTCCATGGGGGTCTATGGGGGTCCATGGGGGGTCTATGGGGGTCAATGTGGGGTTTATGGCGGTCTATGGGGGTCCATGGGGGGTCTATGGGGGTCAATGTGGGGTTTATGGGGGTCTATGGGGTGTCTATGGGGGTCCATGGGGGTCCATGGGGGTCTATGGGGTGTCAATGGGGGTCCATGTGGGGTTCATGGGGTTCTATGGGGGGTCCATGGGGTTCTATAGGGGGTCAATGGGCATCTATGGGGAGTCCATGGGGGGATCTATGGGGGGGTCCATGTGGGGTTCATGAGGGTCTATGGGGGTCCATGGGGGTCTATGGGGTCTATAGGGGGTCAATGGGGTGTCTATGGGTGTCCATGTGGGGTCCATGGGGGTCTATGGGGTGTCTGTTGGGTCCGTGGGGGTCTATGCGGTGTCAATGGGGGTCCATGTGGGGTTCATGGGGGTCTATGGGGGGTCCATGGGGGTCTATGGGGTGTCTATGGGGATCCATGTGTGGTCCATGGGGGTCTATGGGGGTCCATGTGGGGTCCATGGGGTTCTATGGGGTGTCAATGGGGGGTCCATGTGGGGTTCATGTGGGTCTATGCGGGGTCTATGGGGGTCCATGGGGGTCTATGCGGTGTCTATGGGGGTCCATGGGGGTCTATGGGGGGTCAATGGGGGTCCATATGGGGCCCATCGCGTTCTATGGGGTGTCCATGGCAGTCTATAGGGGGTCAATGGGGGTCCATATGGGGTCCATGGCGTTCTATGGGGGGTCCATGGCAGTCTATAGGGGGTCAATGGGGGTCTATGGGTAGTCCATGGGCGGTCTATGGGGTGTCTATAGGGGTCCATGTGGGGTTCATGGGGGTCTATGGCGTGTCTATGGGGGTCCATGTGGGGTTCATGGGGGTCTATGGGGTGTCTATAGGGGTCCATGTGGGGTTCATGGGGGTCTATGGGGGTCCATGTGGGGTCCATGGGGTTCTATGGGGTGTCAATGGGGGGTCCATGTGGGGTTCATGCGGGTCTATGGGGTGTCAATGGGGGGTCCATGTGGGGTTCATGGGGGTCTATGGGGTGTCAATGCGGGGTCCATGTAGGGTCCATGGGGGTCTATGGGGTGTCTATGGGGATCCATGTGGGGTTCATGGGGGTCTATGGGGGTCCATGTGGGGTCTATTGGGGTCCATGTGGGGTCCATGAGGGGTTCATGGGGTGTCTATGGGGATCTCTAGGGGGTCAATGGGGGTCTATGGGGAGTCCATGTGTGGTCCATGGGGGTCTATGGGGTGTCTATGGGGGTTCCTGTGGGGTTCATGGGGGTCTATGGAGGGTCCATGGGGGCTCTATGGGGGTCTATGTGGGCTCCATGGGGGTCTATGGGGGATCCATGGGGGCTCTATGGGGGTCTATGGGGGCTCTATAGGGGATCCATGGGGGCTCTATGGGGGTCTATGTGGGCTCTATGGGGGTCTATGGGGGGTCCATGGGGGGTTAATGGGGATCTATGGGGGTTAATGGGGATCTATGGGGGGTTAATGGGGATCTATGGGGGGTCCATGGGGGTCCCATCCCTTCTGCCCCCCCAGTCCTGCCCCACAGGGACTCTGGAGCTGGTTCAGGTGCTGGTGCAGAGTGGAGCCCCCGAGGGCTGGAGCAGCGCCCGGTGAGGGGCTATGGGGCTCTATGGGTCTATGGGGGCTATGGGGGCTATGGGGCTCTATGGGTCTATGGGGGCTATGGGGGCTATGGGGCTCTATGGGTCTATGGGGGCTATGGGGGCTATGGGGCTCTATGGGTCTATGGGGGCTATGGGGGCTATGGGGCTCTATGGGTCTATGGGGGCTGTGGGGGGCTATGGGGCTCTATGGGTCTATGGGAGCTATGGGGGGCTATGGGGCTCTATGGGCAGTATGGGGGGCTATGGGTGTCTATGGGGGCTATGGGGGGCTATGGGGCTGTATGGGTCTATGGGGGCTATGGGGCTGTATGGGTCTATGGGGGCTATGGGAGGCTATGGGGCTCTATGGGTCTATGGGGGCTATGGGGGCTATGGGGCTCTATGGGTCACATAGGGGGGTTATGGGGCTCTATGGGTCACATAGGGGGGTTATGGGGCTCTATGGGTCTATGGGGGCTATGGGGCTGTATGGGTCTATGGGAGCTGTGGGGGGCTATGGGGCTCTATGGGTCTATGGCAGCTATGGGGGGTTATGGGGCTCTATGGGTCTATGGGGGTTATGGGGCTGTATGGGTCTATGGGAGCTGTGGGGGGCTATGGGGCTGTGTGGGTCTATGGGGGCTATGGGAGGCTATGGGGCTCTATGGGTCTGTTGGGGCTATGAGGGGCTATGGGGCTCTATGGGTCTGTTGGGGCTATGAGGGGCTATGGGGCTCTATGGGTCTATGGGGGCTATGGGGGGGCTATGGGGCACTATGGGTCTATTGGGGCTATGGGGGGCTATGTGGCTGTATGGGCGGTATAGGGGGCTATGGGGTCTATGGGGCTATGGGGGGCTATGGGGCTCTATGGGTCTATGGGGGCTATGGGGGTCTATGGGGCACTATGGGACTCTATGGGTCTATGGGGGCTATGGGGGGCTATGGGGCTCTATGGGTCTATGGGGGCTATGGGGGGGCTATGGGGCACTATGGGTCTATTGGGGCTATGGGGGGCTATGTGGCTGTATGGGCGGTATGGGGGGCTATGGGGCTCTATGGGTCTATGGGGGCTATGGGGCACTATGGGACTCTATGGGTCTATGGGGGCTATGGGGCACTATGGGTCTATGGGGAGCTATGGGGGGCTATGGAGGTCTATGGGGCTCTATGGGCCTATTGGGGCTATGGGGGGCTATGGGGCTCTATGGGTCTATGGGGGCTATGGGGCACTATGGGGGTGTATGGGTCTATGGGAGCTATGGGGGGCTATGGGCGGTAGGGGGGCTATGGGGGGCTATAGGGCTCTATGGGGCTATGGGGGCTATGGGGGGCTATGGGCGGTAGGGGGGCTATGGGGGGCTATAGGGCTCTATGGGTCTATGGGGGCTATGGAGGGCTATGTGGGGCTATGGGGACTATGGTGGTCAATGTGTTTATGGGGTCTATGGGTCTATGGGGGGCTATGGATGTGCTATGTGGGGCTCTTGGGGGGCAGGAGGGGTTATGTGGGGTTATGGGGGGGGCAATGGGGGGGCCTATGAGGGGCTCTAGGGGGCTATGGAGGGGTTGGGGGGCGCTGTGGGGCCAGGCTGGGGTTTAAGGGGGGCAATGGGGCTGAGCTGGGTCCATTGTGTGCTATGGGGGGGGGGGGGGGGGTTATGGGGCT